TGAACTCGTCTGATCCTCAACTATCCTTAGAAATCTTTCGTTTATAGGAGTTCCATCTTCCGAAACAAATGCATGTTTTGAACGCGCCATTACCTACGAAATCGACAAAACTTTAATCGACAGAGGAGTATCCGAGTAATCTTTAATCGAAATCGAAAGGAAACACATAATTACAACATACCTTAGAGAAGAATTGCAAGTTAGTTATCCTGGGTTGTGCGATTTTTAGAGGGAATTGCTTTAGGTTTGAAACGGAGAAGAAGAAATGGTCGTGGTCGTGGGGTTGGTTGCGGATTTGGTTAAAATCTAATTTAAACGAGTTGGGTCGGGTCAATTGCTGGCTGGATTAGTAATTTACTTGAACTTTTTGGTTTTTTTATTGTCTTTTCCGCCTGTTTTGGGTTTAAAAAAAATTGTTATTATTCTCGGGTTATTTGTTATTTCGGTCAGTCAAGAAAGGTCATTTGAAGTTTTGATGCCTATGATCGTCATTTATGATCCTTAATTACCTAAGTATTTTAAAATATTCTATGCGACATCCGTTAAGAAAATCAAATTTTGACAACGAAAGGGAATCGCCGCGCGTGCGATTTTTTTCACTCAACTTCTCCAAGAGACTTTTTTTCTTTTGCTCTGGGGTCCTCTCTGGCTACGATGCACGGGGACAGTAGTTTAGGCGACGTACCCGTACCGGGGACGTACGGGGACGCTGCGGAAATGGCACAAAAACGTCCGGGAGACTTATCATACAAGTTAGGGACGGCCACGCTAAATGGGAACGTTTCTGAAATGTTTTTATGCTAAAAAATAGAGTCCCCATCAATCAAAACTTCATTTAATGGTTAGTAATTAAGAAATTAGTGGTAGATTTGTGTTGTTATAGTTAAGATATGTGAGAAAATGAGAAGAAAATCGAAGAGTTGCAAGAGAAAACAAATAAAATCAATAATGGAGAGTAACGGCGGTAAGAGTTTTCTGGAAGTAAGAGATGATCATGGGTAATTACATTTCTGCCCCCTTTCATTTACGTTAAAAATGAGACTTATGTCTGGAAATGTTAGAACTTGCGGTTGGGTTTACTAAAAACACACTCAATACCATTATGTTACTAGAATACATTACTATATATACCTAAAATTTTATAAAACATAATTTGTCGAATGATGTTATTGACCTATATTTGCAGTACCCGTATCCATAGAATTTTAGTATTG